CGATGGCGCTCTTCCGAGGCACGTTGCCCAACATGGTGCGCATCGTGCCGTACTCGGCCGTCATGTTTACGACGTACGAAGCCGCCAAGAAATTTTTGATCGAGTGCGCCTAAACGCTATGGTTGTAGAATGGTAGTAGTAGTGTACACTCTTTTTGTAAAGTAAATAAGTTATTATCTTTTGTTTGTCACAAACTTACTGTAGAACTTATTATAACATGAGTCTTGCGTATTGATGGATGTCTTGCTGCTGGGCGTCGACGACTGAAGTCTAGTAGATGCTGGCGACATCAGAACCAGAGAATTATGTAAACGAGATCCCACACTGATCCTTGACGCTGAACAGGGCTAGGGGTTGTCAATACGACTGGGACCAGTGGTGTCGCCACGCTAGCTCGCGTCCTTTACATTCGGATAGCGCAAAACAAGTTGAAAGAGTGAGGCCAACATGCCAGCAGGGGCACGCTTGGCATGAACATCGCGATATCGACGCAACAGACTATCATCGTCAATGGGTGTTGCCTGCCATCGGGAGAAGACTCGCAGCACGTTCCACGGTCGAAGAATGCTGCGTGGTGACCACATGCCCGAGAAGCCGATCTCAGATCAAGGATCATTGGCACACCGACCAGATCGAGTCCAAGGCCCAAGGAGCTTTGCAAAGTGGGTTGGTGTATGACTGTATTCTGACGACGCTAGGCGTTCACAAATATGGTCCTTCTTCGTTTCAGTCCAACGTCGCCTGGCGTCGTCCGCTCGACTCGATAGTACTTCTATCGACTCAAGACGTTGTGATGGGCGAGGGTAAGGGACTCGACGCGCCCTTCGCGCGACCAAGCGACGCATTCTCTGCGTGCCGAACCCTACCCCTCCACGTGGCAGCCGGACCGGTCGCGATCTTCGCAATTAGCCAATCCCGATGCAGGCATGCGATCCATGAGCAAGAAGGCGCCTTTCGTCGTTGATTCGGGCGCCACACGAAGGTTGTTTGCGCGAGGTGTCCCTAAGATACACAAAGGCTGCTTTATCATTACAACAGCGATGCGTTCCGCAATGGACGCTCCATATCTTTTGCGGCGCAGCTCTCTTTTCCGGGGGTTGAAACTGCTGATGGCGCCCGCGATCGAAGGTTCTCGAAAGGTGTCAGTCATCCCCTGCCTAAACATGGACGTTCCGGCTTGGTCACAAATAGAAGGGATGGGCACGGCGTTTCGCCCTGTATCATCCACACGGACTGACGCCGGTCGCAGCCTCTCGTCGCGTCAACTGCTTTGCTTAAAAGCGAGCGAAATACATCCATAATGTATATTGTGAGTCGTATTGCCGGATAGACTACTCCAAGCTGCATAAAACTCTGAAGCGTGCAAAGGCATGTACCTTCGTCAGTAGTAGCTTTTCGAAAATGCAACGCGGGATCGTTTCGATCTTCCATCACTGGTTGAAGTTGGCCGTTGTGGGTTAGATCGCTCGCACGTGATAGGGCGCCTTTGCTCGCAACGCACTGCGTGACGAACGAGACAACAGGCACGGGCCGCTCCTTTCGTCGGCGGAAATTTGCGCGCTGCGATTGGTGGGATTTACAAGGTCGTCGATCCTTGCCTCGTCGCAACGGAGTCTCACTTTGCCTTTGGATCTCTACCGCCACTACCGCTCCCATTACTACTTCAACCCATGTCGACGACGTCGTCCAACGTCAATGGCCTCCGCTCGGTCGTCGCCGGCGCCGTTGCCGGCTGCGTCACCCGCTCGTGCACGTCGCCCTTGG